AATTATCTTAATTAATATATCTATAATAATATATAAACATACGCAATATTTTATATTGTGAATCCTAATATAAATATTTTAATATAATTTAAAAACTGTACATGTAAGTTCTATAAAGGAATTCCTATAAGTAAATACTATGCTATTTATGGCATAAATGGAAGTTCAAATCTTTCATCCTTGATATTTTACAACTTTAAATATATAAATATTTTACTTAGTTTATAAAGGATAACAAGCGTTTTATATTATATCTTTTTAATGATGAATAATAAATATTATACAGTTTTAATTAAAATATTTTAATTATTAAATATTATAACATCTGTAAATAATCAGACTCTAAGTATTAATAACATTTGATATTTATTCAAAAATTATTATAAAATTTTTTTATATAGTAAAACTCATTACACAGGTACCATATGGATAATTATAACAATAATTATGACATTATCATTATCATTATTTATTATTGGAATTTTAGGTTTTATTCTTAACCGAAAAAACATTATTCTAATGATTATTTCTATCGAAATGATGTTATTAGCTGTAACATTATTAGTTCTAGTTAGTTCATATCAATTTGATGACATTATCGGACAAACTTATTCTGTTTATATTATTGCTATTGCCGGAGCTGAAAGTGCTATTGGTTTAGGTATTCTGGTAGCTTACTACCGATTACGAGGAAATATTTCACTTCGAACATAATATAAATGTATCTTTCAATTCTTGCTTTACCATTATTAGGATCAGCTACAGCTGGTCTATTAGGACGAAAAATTGGAGTAACAGGGGCACATATTATTACTACTGGATGTTTAATGGCTAGTGCTGTATTAGCATTAGTTGCATTCTATGAAGTAGGATTTTGTGGTTCACCTGTAACAATTAATTTATTTAGTTGGATTGATTCAGAATTCTTATTAGTAAATTGGGGATTCTTATTTGATTCATTAACAGTTTCTATGCTATTACCTGTTTTAGTTGTATCATCATTAGTTCATCTATATTCTGTATCATATATGGCAGACGATCCTCATAACCAACGATTCTTCTCATATCTATCTATGTTCACATTTTTTATGCTAGTATTAGTAAGAGGAGATAACTACTTAATCTTATTCGTAGGTTGGGAAGGTATTGGTATTTCATCATACCTATTAATTAATTTCTGGTATACTCGAATTCAAGCTAATAAATCAGCTATCAAAGCATTAACAGTTAACCGAGTTGGTGACATGTTCCTATCTATTGGATTCTTTGCAATTCTTTGGGTTTTCGGAAATGTTGATTATGCTACAGTATTCAGTATTTCACCTTTAATTAATGAAACAGCTATTACTATTATTGGATTATTATTATTAATTGGAGCTATGGCTAAATCAGCTCAATTTGGATTACACACATGGTTACCTGATAGAATGGAGGGACCTACTCCGGTTTCTGCTCTAATTCACGCTGCTACTCTTGTAACAGCGGGAGTATACCTAATGTTACGATCATCACCTATTATTGAATATGGGCCAACTGTATTAATTGTAATTACATGGGTTGGAGCATTAACAGCTTTCTTCGCAGCAACAACAGGTATGTTACAAAATGATATGAAACGAATTATTAGATTCTCAACTTGTTCACAAATGGGATATCTATTCATGGCAGTAGGACTGTCACAATATAATGCAGCATTATTCCATTTAGTAAATCATGCTTTCTTCAAAGCCTTATTATTCTTAGCAGCTGGTGCTGTTATCCATGGAATGGCTGACCAACAAGATCTACGACGATTAGGAGGATTAGTAAATTTCTTACCTTTAAGTTATACAGCTATTTTAATTGGATCACTTTCATTAATGGCTTTCCCATTCTTAACAGGATTCTATTCTAAAGATCTAATCTTAGAATTAGCTGCAGGACAATATGAAGTTTCTGGTAATATTGCTTATTGGTTAGGTACATTATCTGCTAGATTAACAGCTTTCTATAGTACTCGATTAATTTCATTAGCATTCTTTACTGTACCAAATGGACCAAAAGTAGATTATGAACATGCACATGATGCACCATTTATTATTATTATTCCATTAGTAATTCTATCTATTTTATCTATTGTTTTTGGTTATGTAGCTAAAGATGCTTTTGTGGGAATGGGTACAGATTTCTTATCAACAGCATTATTCCAACATCCAAATCATATTTCATTAGTTGAAGCAGAATTTGGTATTAGTACTTTCATTAAATTATTACCTATGGTATTAACATTTGGAGGAGCAGGTTTAGCTTTCTTTATGTATCATTATACACCAATGTTCCTGATCCATTTAACAGATAGTCAATTAGGGCAAGCAATTTATGGGTTCTTTAACGGAAAATGGTTAGTAGATAATGTATACAATAAATACTTTATCAGTGGAGGTCTAAAAGCCGGATATATTATTTCAAAATTCATTGATCGAGGTATCTTAGAATTAGCAGGTCCTTACGGATTAAGTAATAGTTTAACAAACAGAGGTAAAAATATTGCAAGTTATGATACAGGTATTATTACTAGTTATGCTCTATATATTATCCTTGGATTAATCACATTAGTATTCTTCTTATTCGCACCAGTTCTATTAGGAGGATCATTAGAATCAGTATTAGGAGGAGATATGGGATTAGTTTTAGTTTACTTAAGTGCCTTAGTATTATTACCTACAGTAATGTCACGATCATCAAAATAAATAATCCCCAAAATCTAGATAGACAACATATTTAATGTGTTGTGAGGAATTAACATTATATAATACCAATTATTTAATATTATGTATTATATATAACCATATTTTTAGGGCACCTGTGGGATTTGAACACCACACTTTGAGATCATGAGCCTTACGTGCTAACCTGTTACACTAAAGTGCCTTATATGTAAATATGTTTTTAACATATACTTCTTATAATTTATAATAATTTATTAAATTTTAAATATTAGGGGGATATTTATAATGTATATAATAAATCTGTTACTGCCATATGTAAATCGTTAAGAATAACATTTGGACAGATACCTAGTACGAAGGCAGGTAATAATAAAGCAAATAATACCATAAATTCTCGTCGTGACACATCATTTAATTTAGGTAAATATTGTGAATATGATCCGAATCTAATTCGATTGAATAAGAAAATACTATAAGATGCTGATAATACAATACCTGTGGCTCCTAATAAACCAATTACAGGGTTTTTTTGGAAAGTTCCAGCTAATGACATGAATTCTCCCGCCCAATTTAAACTTAAAGGAATACCCATGTTTGCAATTGTAGCTAAGAAGAATAATAATCTGAAAACAGGCATGTAAATAACAGTACCTCGATAGTATCGAATAACTCGAGTATGTCTTTGATCATAAAGAACTCCTCCAACAAGAGTGAATAATGCAGGAGAGATGAATCCGTGAGCAATTGATAATAAAAGGGCCCCTTCAATACCTACAATAGTATTTGAGAATAATCCTAGTACAACAATAGCCATGTGGCTAATAGATGAATAAGCTACTAATGCTTTGAAATCTGATTGTCGTAATGTAGCTAATGATGAATAAATTAAACTTACTACAGCAATAGTTTGAACTAATGGAGAGAAGAAGTTTGTAGCATCTGGCATAAAATTAATTAATACTCGTAGATAACCATACACTGCTAATTTTAAGAAAACAGAGGCTAGTAAGATAGATCCTCTAAGAGGTGCTTCTGCGTGAGCTCGAGGTAACCACATATGTAAAGGTCTTAATGGTGTTTTAATGGCAAATGATAAGAAAAATGCTAACCATAAGATTTTTTGACTATCTAAGCTAATATTAGATAATGAAATTAGTGTAAAATCAGTACTTCCAACGTTATAGTAAATTACTAAAATAGCTAGAAGCATAAATAGTGAACCTGCTAATGTATATAGGAATAATAAGAAAGATGCCCGAATTCGAGTAATTGAACCACCCCAAATACCTACTACTAAGAACATAGGGATTAATACTGATTCGAAGAAAATATAGAATAACATTAAATCTAATACTACGAATACACCAATTAATAGTGTTTCCATTAATAAGAATGCAATGAAATAATATTTATATCCAAATTTTAAGTTATCCCAATTTGCCACTAAACAAATAGGTGTGATAAATGTTGTAAGAAGTACAAAATATAGACTAATACCATCTAATCCAATATGGAAATGACAGAAGTTTAATGTATTAAATTCTTGTACAAATTGGTAACCTAATGCACTTGAATCAAATTCACCCCAAAGGATAATAGATAATAAGAAATTAATTAAGGCTCTAATTAAAGATACTTGTTTAATTAATGTTAAATTTTTTTCTTCGTTCATAGGAAGAACTCTTAAAATTCCCATTAAAGGAATAAGTAATAATGCTGTTAACATGATAAAATATTGTTATAAATTTGTTTGCCTTTAAATAAAAATTTTAAAAATTTTTTATTATATTAAACGAGTAATGGGATATATACCATTATCTCTTGTATATCTACTATTGTAAAAAGACTTTAATATTAGAGTTTATATATAATATATTTTTATAAGAAATATATCTTACATTTCTTATATAACAATAATATATTTAACATTTTATTAATGATCAGATTGTATCTAGAATAGACAAATAATTTATTAAATAATTTAATATATAATTATATTGTATATTTAATAGAAGATAAGATAGCTTATAGTATAAATATACAGTACACATTAAAATTAATGGGGTAGAAGTTAAAATCTTCTTAAGCTTATTTACGATGGTATCGTATTATTATATATACTCTAAAAATATTTAACTTTGTTAAATATAATATTTAAATTATATAATTTAGAATAATACTCTATTATATAATTTGTAAATTATATAAAGAGAATATCTATATAATAGATATAAAGATATGTATATTTATACATATTTATATAAATAATCATAATTATGCGATTTTTAAAATCTAATAAATTAAGAAGTATCATTAATAGTTATATTGTTGATTCACCACAACCATCTAACATTAGTTATATGTGGAACTTCGGTTCATTATTAGCTACATGTTTAGGTATTCAAATTGTAACAGGAGTAATTTTAGCTATGCACTACACACCTAATGTAGATTTAGCTTTCATTAGTGTAGAACATATTATGCGAGATGTTAACTATGGATGGATGATTCGATACTTACATGCTAACACTGCATCTTTCTTCTTCATTTTCGTTTACTTACACATTGGACGAGGTATGTATTATGGGTCATATAAATCACCACGAATCTTACCATGGTCAATTGGAGTAATTATTTTAGTATTAATGATGGGAACAGCTTTCCTAGGTTATCTTTATTATAGCCTAAAATGGTTAGAAATTACAAATAATACATCTTTAATTATGTCATCTATTTTTTTACCATTTACACCTTCTTTAAAGTTACAAAATATTTTAGCTAAAAATAAAATGTCGCCTGTTGGAAGATGGGAGAATTTAGATCTTCCTGGATCCAAAAAAAGAGTACAGACAGCTGTCAAAGATATTGGCGGTATTTATGCTATTATTAATCTTGTGACTGGAGATATGTACATTGGTAGTGCTGTAACAGGCCGAATAGGAAATCGTTTCCATAAACATTTATATGGAGGGACAGGAAGTATTATTACTTATGCTGCTGTCTTAAAATACGGTTTATCGAACTTTGCATTTGTCGTATTAGAATTTACTGAAGAACATCCTAATGATAGAATGAATAATAATCTTCTTATGCGAGAAGATTATTACTTATCTACTTTAAAACCTATTTATAATATTGCTCCTAAAGCAGGTAATACTTTAGGTGTAAAACACAGTAACGAAACTAAGGCAAAAATGAAAATTAACTATTCATCTGAACGACGTGAAGCTATTCGAGCCCTTAATCGAGGTAAATCATTGTCTTCAGTCACAGTAGAAAAAATGCGACAATCTGCTTTAAACCGGTCACTTATGTCACAAGAAACTCGAGATAAAATTTCATTAAAAATAGGGAAATTTTATTTAATCAATCGTGTAGACAATACAGATTTTCTATCACCAGAAGATTTAATGGTTCAATCATTAGAACTTCATACAATAAAAAATGTTAGAAATTTCTTAAACTGTGATGAAAAAACAGTATCACGAGCTTTAAAAAAAGACGGTATTATTAAAAAAATTTGGCAAATTAAAGTAAAAGATTAATTTCTATACTATAGTCCTACATAATTCCTCTATTTGTTTATTAACAACTAAGAATCTATATAGAAAAAGAGGTGTAGAATACCCTTATAGGGGTATTGAAGAAAGATTTCATAAATTATCTTTCTTTGGCGATACAAGTGAAAACGGTTAAAAGAATTAATCAGGTTCTCAGACCGTCGGTTATATATATAATCGCTACAGACTGGATCACTTGTAGGTACCTGTGATGGTGCTTAATGTACAGTCGAACTTCTAGATATTTATATATCTTCAAGGCCTAAGAAGATGTTTACCTTGAAATAATAAATTTTGGGATAGGTAAATTGATTAGGTACAACTATTTAAGAGTACTGATTAATCTGGAAGATTATATCTTAAATAGAGAAGTTGTATGTATTACCTTACGGGCAAATGTCATTATGGGGAGCAACTGTAATTACTAATATGTTATCAGCTATCCCATGGATCGGACAAGATTTTGTACAATTAACAATCCTTTTACTTGTCCAATCTTTATTCATTTATCTAATTAATTATAAAAACCCTATTGAAAGTTTACCAACTATTGGTAAAGTAAATACTAAAGCTTTACGAGGTCAAAAAGCTCGAGAAGAAAATGATAAATTAACCTTTAAAAAAATTACATCTAGCTTTATAGCTATGTTTAGAGGAGTAGTAGATGGCGACGGTTATATTAAATTAACTAAAACAATAAAAGGTTTTATTTCTATAGAATTAGTAATTTCATTAGATATTCGAGATAAGAAATTATTAGAATATTTAAAATCTGTATTAGAAGTTGGTCGTATCTATTACCATAAAAACACTGTAAAATATATTATTGGTCGTGTAGATTTACAAGAAGTAGTTTTTCCCTTATTATTACATTACAATATTCAATTTTTAACAGATACTCGCCGAGAGCAATTTAGACAAGCTTTAAATGTATTAATTAAGAATATTGTATTATTTGAAGATTTAGATAAATTATCTAACACTTTAGTAGGATTAGAATTACCTTCAACACCTGCAGGATACTTAAATCTACCTTATTTTAAAAACTGGGTAGTAGGTTTTACAATGACTGAAGGTTCATTTTCTATTAAAGCATCAGGTGAGCTATTTTTCAATTTAACTCAACGATCACATGATGTTCTATTTGAAGCTCTTAAATTATTATTTAATACTACCCGAAAGATTGACAATAGTTATAGAGGTTATTCAAAACTATCTTTATCATCTGTTAAAGATCTAAGAAATGTAGTTAACTTTTTCTCATATTCAGATTTACATCCATTAGTAGGGTATAAAAAACTTCAATATGATAAATGGTTAGAGACAATGAGAGGTTTACCTCGGTTTAAAAATGTAAAATTACCAGAGAATGACAAATAAAAAGGAAACGAGTTGCTTATTAAGGAAACTTAATATGTAAAATTGGGTGAAATGCAAGAAACTCTTATGTGTAGTAATATAATCCCCTTAACATAAGACAATTTGCAGCTAAGCTTAAATCAGTGTTTTATCGATTTAAGAAAGTTCAACGACTAATCGGTGAGTAACACTAACAATAATCCGGACACGAGCGCCCAACACCTAAGATTCTTAAAAAAGGATTATGGTGATGACATAGTCTAATCCTGTCAGTAATGGCAGGCTAATTCATTTAAAGGATGAATTAATAATTTATTGTCGTTTGGGGAGGTTTCTCAGTAAACAACGCAACTCTAAACCGATTCTTCTCACTTCACTATCTATTACCATTCATTTTAGCTGCTTTAGCTATCTTACACATGATGACATTACACGTAAACGGAAGTAGTAACCCATTAGGAGTAAGTTCAAACGTTGACCGAGTGCCAATGCATCCATATTACATGTTCAAAGATCTTATTACTATTTTCTTATTCTTCTTAGTATTAGCTATTATTGTATTCTATCTACCTAATGTAATGGGTCACAGTGATAACTATATTCCTGCTAACCCTATGCAAACACCACCATCAATTGTACCTGAATGGTATCTTCTTCCATATTATGCTATTTTACGATCTATTCCAAATAAATTATTAGGAGTTGTAGGTATGTTAGCATCTCTACTTATCTTATTAGCTATGCCAGTATTAGACAGATCTCGAATTCGAGGAGCTCAATTCCGACCTTTAATGAAATTCTCATTCTGGGTATTCGTAACAGATTTCTTCTTCTTAATGTATATTGGATCACAACATGCTGAAGAACCTTTTGTAACTTTAGGATCTATTAGAACAGCTATTTATTTTGGTTGGTTCTTAATCTTAGTACCTGTTATTGCATTCATTGAAAACACATTAAGAGATATTAGAACACGAGAAAACTAGTTATAATAAGATAAGAAAAGGATAAATTATATAAATAATCCCCTTTAATATTATAATATTAAAAGTATAATAAGATATTATAAGCAAAAAAAAAGTTTGAAAAAAAAAAATACAGATGGAATTCCAAATGGTAGGATGTACGCTTTGGGTGCGTGAGGCTGCAGGTTCGATCCCTGCTCATCTGATATATATTATATAATTAAAGTCTCTATAGCTTAATGGTAAAGCAGGATACTGTTAATATCAAGAAGAAAGTTCAATTCTTTCTAGAGACTTTATAAAGTAAAATAATTTATATTATTAACAATGTTAATCTAATATTTAAGATACTATAAATGTATAATATTGTGACTATTCTTATCTTATATTTTAACTTAACTTAACTTAACTTGAACTTTAACTATTAATAATAAAAAGGGTGTTTATTTATTAGGGGATCATTTTATGAGTAATCCAAACTTTTACTGTAACTGCTCCATGTCGACTTTTTATTGTCCATGAACCTAATTCTGTATAAGTTCCATTTTTATCATTAAAATTACCTAATTTTCTTTCTATTACTGTTAATCGTGGTTTAGCTCGCTCAGAATTTAATCGACCAGATGCTCGAATTTTCATACCTAGCATATGCGAAGGTAAATCTAATCTCGTATATTTATTACTAAAATTCTCAAAATTATTTTTTACTACAGGTCTATTTCTGAAAATAGAACCCACAACTTTATTGAATTTGTAATTATTTCTATTGATACCAATATATTTGGCTAAAATTGTTCTATTTAAATAAGGGTAATTTAATTTTACAAATTGTAGTTCTACTTTTCGGTCAAATAATTTTCTTAATGTTCTTCCTAAGTTATTTAGAGTATTTTGATTTAAACTTTGAATTTTTTTTCTTCCATATCGTACTTTTTTGTACCCTTTATCTTCTTCTAATTCTGCTTCAGATTTAGGAATATAATAGAATACGTTAACAATTACTTTATCTCTTGACACAATAAAAGTAGGTTTGCTTGATAAAGCTATAATAGGTGAAAAAAAGTGATCAATAATCTTAGTTCTTAGTTTTTCTGCATTTAATGTATGAATACTACCTTTGTTTAAACTTTTGTTAAAACTATAGTTGTTAGATGACATTAACATATTATTAGTATTATAATAATTATTATTTAATTTATTATTATTATTAAACATTTTTAATTTATTTTATTAAATGAGTAACCATTTTATTTTTATTGTCAAATATATTATTATAACAACAATTAAATACTTCACGTATATTATATACGCTTACCTTTTCCTTTGATATAAGTATATCATTTTAAATCTTTCTTATCTTTACAGGTTGGTAGAAGGCTTTGAACCTTCTTTACTCCATTATGAGCGGAGGGTTTTACCGATTAAACTATACCAACTTTATAGTTATTTAAGATATTTTTAGGCCAAGTATTGTTTATTTATTGATTTGTCAGATTAATATCTATCTATCTTACTTATATTTTTATAAATAGACAATCAAACATAGGTGTTATGATCGAATTTTTTTATTTTTTATGTGTCATTACCACAACTCTAGTTGTATATTATATGTTTTATATGATTTTGGACCTTCCCAATTATTTAGTAATTTACAATAATTAAATATCTTAAACTTATTTATTCTATTATTTAATATATAAACATATATTAAATAAAATATTTTTAAAATCAGGGTAAAACGACAGAATCGAACTGTCCTCTCTTCGACCACAATGAAGCATTTTACCACTAAATTAGTCTTACCTCATTTATATATTAAATACATTTTTTAAGTTAGTTAAATTTTAATATTAATATTATTTCCATAATTTGAAGAGAACAGGACTTGAACCTGTAGTAGGCGTATGCCTGACTGAGTTACAATCAGCTCCCTTACCAATTAGGGGTATCTCTCCTTATGCCTTGAAGAAGACTCGAACTTCTTCCCCAGAAACTTCAGTTCTGTGCTCTACCAGTTGAGCTATCGAGGCATTAATTATTTATTTTTATATACCCAGTTATAATATTTTATACTATGGAGACACAGAGAATCGAACTCTGACAATCATGATGCAAACATGAGATACTACCACTATATTATATCCCCTTATTTAGTTTATATATATATATATAAATATATAAATTCTGGTTATACAATTACTTTTAATAACAAATATAGCATACATTTATTACTTTTAATAATTAAATTTTTCTATGTAAACAGGGGATTTTATATTAAGCAATTCTTGGTACATCAAATGCAATTAAAATTGACGGTACAATTGCCACTAATGCAATAGCCATAGGTAATAAACTACACCACATAAATGTCATTAATTGGTCATATCGTAATCGTGGTAATGTAGCTCGAGTCCATACGAAGAAGAACATAAATAAACAAGTTTTTAATCTTAAGAAAATTCTTTGTAAGTTAATTAATGTATCATTTACAAATAATTCTGGCATATTATATCCACCTAGGAATAGGATTGCACTTAAACTAGACATTAGAACAATACTACAATATTCACCTAGGAAGAAGAATACGAAAATCATTCCTGAATGTTCTGTGAAGAAACCTGCAACTAGTTCAGATTCAGCTTCTGGCAGATCGAAAGGTGTTCGATTTGTTTCTCTAAGAATAGAAATTAAATAAATTACAAAAACAGGTAATAAAGGTAATACATACCATACACCTTGTTGTCTTTCAATAATTCTAGTTAAATTGAATGTACCTCTTAATAGAATAACTGTTAAAATAGCAGAGCTCAGTACCAGTTCATATGAAATCATTTGAGCTGTTGACCGTAATGATCCTAAGAAAGCATATTTAGAGTTTGCAGACCATCCGGCGAATAATACTCCATAAATACCAATAGATGAAATAGCTAATGAATAAAGAATTCCTAATGGGAAATCTGAAATAACTAATCCAGCCCCAAATGGGATAACTGCCCACCCTAAAAGTCTGAAAATTAAAGTGATAATAGGTGCTAAGTAGAATAAACTTACAGTAGCATGTGCAGGTACAACTGTTTCTTTAACTACTAGTTTTAAAGCATCAGCGAATGGTTGTAAAATACCATAAATACCTACTTTGTTTGGACCCACTCGTCGTTGCATAGATCCCATTACTTTTCGTTCAATAATAGTCATGAAAGCTACTGCTAATAATACAGGGACTAACACAATAAGAACAGATAATAGATTCATAATAGTTGTTAACATAAATAAAATAAAAATTGTATATAATCAAAATAATTATATTATTGTAATATTTCTTTCATTAAAATAGTATAAATATATAAACATAAATTATCGATATAATTATTTAACTTCGTTTAATATAATAGTATTATTCATCTATTATATACTATGAAGTATTGGGTAGTTTATTTATAAAATATAAGTTTACCTTTGTATATACACGATTGTTTAAATTTAACTTTATTAAAGGGGATTATTTAAAAATGAATAGAACTATTTTGCTATTTATATATATAATAATATATTATAATTTAGTGATATATACTCGTGTAATAAATAATTGTACAAAGTAAGGTAAGATATAAACTGACATTACATATGTAATTAAAAATAATGCTAATAAAGCAAAAGTAATTTGATTTACGAAGTAAAAAGGTAATAATTGTGGCATATTTTATTTTTTTTTGGTTATATTTAAAAATAACTAATCTAAGAATTCCTGTTAATAAGGAAAATTTTATATTTATATCAATATAATTTGATATATATTAGATTATAAATAGTGTTTTTATAATCTAAAATAAGCTTTAATTAATATCACATAAAGATAATCTAATTAAGTTATATATTTAATAAACATTAATTAAGATTGTACAGGTAACATATTGAAAGCGTGGTAAGGTGTTGGACTTGGTAATTGCCATTCTAATGTTGTAGTTGTTTGTGCTTCGTTTTCGAATACAGGAGTACTCATGAAGAAAGCAGGAATTCCCCATGGGTTTCCAACAGCAATAGGTTGGTTAACAAACATGTCGTAAATTGTATATAGGAATAATCCCATTGAAACTACAGAAATTAATGATCCAATTGAACTTACATAGTTCCATCCTTCGAAAGCATCAGGGTAGTCAGGGATTCGTCGAGGCATTCCTCTAAGTCCTAAGAAATGTTGTGGCATGAATGTTGTGTTTACTCCAATGAATAATGACCAGAATTGGATTTGAGCTAATGTTTCTGAGTACATTCGTCCAAAGATTTTTGGAGCCCAATAATAGAATCCAGCGAATAATGAGAAAACAGCTCCCATTGAAAGTACATAGTGGAAGTGAGCTACTACATAGTATGTATCATGCATTGCAACGTCCATTGAAGCATTTGCTAATACTACTCCTGTTAATCCACCAATTGTGAATAAGAATACGAATCCTAAGGCGAATAACATAGGTGCTGTGTATCGAACTGATCCACCGTAACATGTTCTTAACCATGAGAATACTTTAATTCCTGTAGGAACTGCAATAATCATTGTAGCTGCTGTGAAATAAGCTCGAGTATCTACGTCAAGTCCAACTGCATACATGTGGTGCATGTAAAATATAAATATAAATACTAGTAATTATATTAAAATATAATTGTATTTATGCTCTTCTCACGAAGAGGATCGGACTATATCTTCATCTTTCAAGTTATTCAATTTTTGATGAACCTGTTTTAATTGTTTCTCTATTATTTAAATTAATCTCTTTCGAAATTAATTTAATTTTACTTAATCCTTTTGAATCTAAATGTTCCTTATTTAGTCTTATTGTATAAATTTCATTCCATTTAATAAATGAAATAGCTTTTTTAGTTCGTAAAGGATGAATTAAAAAATAATCACGTACATTAACTAATCCTTTGAAAGAATCAATAGTTAATCGATATACTTGATTAGTTCCACTTCGTAAAGAAACTTTACCAAAACCGAATAAGTTTTTAATATATTCTAAAGTAATTTGAGCATTTTTTTGATCTAGTAAAAATCGTAGAGATACTCGATATCCTGTTACAGTATTAAGACGAGAAGTAATATTTACATTAAAACATCCTTCTGCATCTGTGAATCCACTTAACCATCTATCGTTTAATGTAGGTAAAACAGGTGTAACGACAAATTTAGATGTGAATCCTAAAACTTTAAACCATTCATTTAATTGATTAATTCGGTGATTTAACACTAAATTACCATTAAATAACAAAGCAAGAGTTTTAATATTTCTTAAATCAGAAACAATATATCGATAATAACCACCAGAAGAAGTAGGATAATATTTTACAATACCAAATCTTAATACCTTTTTAATATGATAAAGGATTCTTCCCTCTTTTTGTGTTAATACAAATTGAGGTCGATTTTTATAACATAAAATAGCACCATCACCTTCTCTGAAACCAATAAACCAGATTAACCAATTATAATCTGGTACAGGTAAATTATAAAAATTTTTATAATGATCAATAAATTTAATTAAATTGAAAGATGTATTGCGTTTAGTCTCTGAGGATCTCGTTAAACTTCTATTAGAAGAAGTATACCGATTCCCTGCTGATTGAGTATAACTAATTAGATTTTTACTGTTAAAAGTACCAATTAGCGTTAAACTGTTCCAGCATACAGCAATATTTATTACCCTTACTTCACAATAAGGGAGAGCCACCACTTTATAAATGTTCAAGTAGAAACTCCATACAATGAAACCTAAAATACCAATAGATGCAATAGCATATACCATTCCTAAGTAACCGAATACTGGTTTTCCTGAGAAAGCTGAAATAACTTGTGAAATCATACCGAATCCTGGAATAATAATTAAGTAAACTTCAGGGTGACCGAAGAACCAGAATAGATGTTCGTATAATACAGGATCACCTCCTCCAGCTGGGTCGAAGAATGATGTATTGAAGTTTCGATCAGTTAAAATCATTGTAATAGCTCCTGCTAATACAGGTAGAGCCATAATAATAATAATAGCTTGGAATAACATAGCCCATACGAATAGAGGCATTTTATGTAATGTCATTCCAGGTGCTCGCATGTTTAAAATAGTTGTAATAATATTAATTGAACCTAACATTGAAGACATTCCTGATAAGTGAAGTGAGAAAATAGCTAAATCAACTGATCCTCCTGAGTGTGATTGGATACCTGATAATGGCATATATCAAAATTTTGTTTAAGCAAATTGTTTTTTTACTTTAACGCTGTACTCTCGTACAGGATCGGACTATACCTTCATTATTTAGTGGAATTAGCTTTTTGAAAATTTTTATCTAATCGAATAGATCGAATATTCCGCATTTGTTCTTGAATTTTTCTTAAATACTCATATCGTTCAGGTGCACTATATTTTTCTCCTTTTTTAAAGGATCGTGACCAGATACGGAATTCTAAAGATTTCATACCTTTAATTGTATTATTGTAATAATCAATAATATTTGCAATATTAGAAGATTTTGAAGTTTCTACTGCAAAATAAGTTTTATGTTGATTTAAAGGAATATTTAAAATATAACTAATTGCTTGTAATACAATTAAATCTAGTTTTTGAGTAATAACAAAATAATGTACATAACGATTTCCACCTTTTTTCCCAATGAAAAAACTACCTTCAGCTTCTGTGAAACCAATTAACCATGGTTTTGACATAACTAAAGAAGCTCTATCTTTAGATGAAACAATATTATTAATAATTGACCATCTAGGTGAAATATAGTTATTTGGAATATTCTTATTTCTTTTTAGATTTTGAAGTTTAACATCCTTTTCTTTAGAAGTTAAATTTTTATCATATAAAATTAAAGCTGCTTGCTTGAATAGATCATAGTTATAATACTTACTTGTTAATAGAGGATATTTATCAAAAATAGGAATTAAATGTAGAATAATATGTTCCACATTTCGTAATCGATATCTAGCAGTTCTCCCGTTTTTAGGTACATAAACAGTTCCTACACCTAACATTGATTTAATATAATGTAATAAACGTAGATTATATGAACTTTGTCCTACTTTAAATTCTAAAGTCCATTTACCGTTAGTTCCTGTAAATGTAAAACTACCATCTCCATCAACAATACCTACTAACCATTGTTCAAACCAACTTTTATCCTTAAATAATGTTCCACATTTAGTCTCTGATGAGCTAGAAGTATGTAAATATTTAGCCCAGGCGGATTGTCCCCGTGTTACTACCATTTTTACTGCGATTAAACTAAAAATCACGAGTAGGTAGCTCCAAGTTGAGGAGTTTCCCGCATCGAGTGGAATTTTTGTCGTGTTAAATCTAGATAAATTTAACATTTCGGACACCATATTGCCGTTTAATGTCCATCCTGTTCCTGCTCCTTGTTCTACGAAAACACTTCCTACTAATAATACTGTAGCCGGAATTAAAATCCAGAATGAAATGTTATTTAATCGAGGGAATCTCATATCAGGTGCTCCAATTAATACAGGAACCATATAGTTACCAAAACCTGCCATTCTAGGTACAACAGCGAATAATAACATAATAAGTCCATGTGCAGTAATAATTACATTGAATAGTTGGTGGTTACCAGCTAAGAATTGACTACCAGGTGCTGATAGTTCTAATCGAATTAGAACAGATAAACCTGTACCTACTAATGCCATAAAAATAGCATAAATAAGGTAAAGTGTTCCAATATCTTTAGCATTTGTAGATAATAGCCATCGTGTCATGCAAAAGATATAAATTTCCTAATGTGTCCTAAGTTATCTGTGACTTAGATTATTATTTAATAATATAGTATTATCTATATTAAAAATTCTAATTTTTTATGTATGTTAAACTTAATTATACTATTAAGTAAATATATAGGGAATGATGGAATCGAACCACCACTACTATAGTGTAAATATAGTGTACTAACCATTATACTAATTCCCCATTATATGATCGCCTTTATATAAAATCTGTAATTGCTTTTATATTTTAATATAAATATAAAAACAGATATACAATTAAAATATAATTGTATATTATATATGAATATATTATCTATTAGTTTTTAAAGAAATACAAGGATGAATGGAATCGAACCACCACAAACAGATTTGGAATCTATTGTACTACCATTATACTACATCCTTATAAATAATATCTACACTAAAAATTATTTTTTTTTAATTTGAATAAAAAATTCTTTAATAAAAAATGTTTGACTATTAATAGCCTTTCATGAATTTATAAAGGTGTCTCTAATTAATAAGTTTTAAAAGAATTAATATATAAATAGAAAGAGCTCATAGGGATTCGAACCCTATACCTCAAATTTGCAATTCAAGTTCAAGAACCACAAGTGAGCTCAATTAATTTAAATTACTTATATAGGGAAATATGGCAGGTGTAATTAAACAGGTAAATTAGTATCACTTAGCTAAGTATTTCTCCGCACTTATACTCGTGACCTATTAAAGAAATAGTCTATTTCTAACCTCATTAGGAAATTATTATAAATAATATTTTCCTATTATAGTCGCCTTTATTGGACTTCAATAGCTTAATATGCTTTCAGCTTTTATCCTAAACGTTTATAGCTACCCAACGGTGCCCGAAATAAGGGTTACCACGAATTAACATGGCGCCTAAGAACAATTGGTACACCATAGAAACGCGGATCTAGGTCCTTTCGTACTGGAGATCCGTTTAAACTTGACTATTTATTGGTGTGGAAGATAGGAACCATACTGACTCACATCGTATTGAACCCAACTCGCGTACCTTTTTAATCTGCGAACAGCAGAACCCTTCTTAGCTTGTGCACCAAGAGGTGAAGGTGAGTCGACATCGAGGTGGCAAACAGCTCTGACAATATGAACTCTCGAGAGCTATTACCCTGTTATCCCTAGCGTAACTTTTATTTCTTGATCGATATTCTTTCCATAAAGAAGCATCGGTTCACTAAGTCCTACTTACGTACCTGTTCGATATATCTATCTCACAGTCTGGCATGCTTATACCTTTGCGTAGTTTATCATATATACATAAAGATTTTGTCTCCAACAGAACTGCTAACATACCTATTAAAGTCCTCCGATACTCTATTGGAGGAAACCGTCCCAGTTAAACTACCAACCTGTCATTATCGTTTTGTTAAAAACCAATAATCTGGCCGCCTATTGTGAGTTTTCCATAATTATCTATCCTTAATAGTCATATATATGTAATTAAGGGTATTCGAATACCTCCGTATTTATCTGTTAATAGTAACGACCAGGCTCATAACGGGGTATAGTAAAGCTGCATAGGGTCTTCCCGTCTACCCACACCTAAACCGCATCTTCACGGCTAATTCAATTTCACTGAGATACTGTACGAGACAGCTGAAGCATCATTACTCTATTCATGCAGGACCGCATTTAACGGCCAAGGAATTTCGCTACTGTTAAAATCCTTATAGTTAAGACTGTCATTGATCAAAGCTTCTCGAAGGACCCCTCAGTCCCTCTAATTATACTTATGACATCGGACAAGATTCGACACCTATACAATGTTTATTACATAGCAGATATCTGTGTTTTTGGTAAACAGTTGTGCCTCACGCTTCCATGATACCCTCTAGAGGTCATCCTTATTATCTAGTGTACGGATGCATTTTGCCGAGTTCCTTATACAGTATTATCTCTCCGCCGTATAATATTCTCTATCTGCGAACTTGTGTTAGTTTAGGGTACGGTAATAGCATAATATTATTTTCCTGGTTCCGTTCTATTATAAACTCATCGATAATAACTATAAAGTTAATACAATTATCTTAGAGGCCGTTTTAAATCTAAGCTGTTTAACATTTCTTAGAAACCCTTTCGCATCCGGCGAGAAGAATTATATCTTCTTTCTACGTTACTCATGTTAGCATATTCTCTTCAGTAATGTCCAAATAATCAAAGACTATTCTTCAACCATACTGAATGCTCCTCTACCCTAATATTATCTAAAAATAATATCGACATAGTTTCGGTAAATAATTTAGACCCGTTAATTTTCGGCGCTAAGTTTCAATAGACTACTAAGTTGTTACACTTTCATTAAAAGATAGCAACTTCCAAGCTAACTTTATAGTTGTATATGAACCAAAACTGCCTTTATTTCACTTAACCATTATTTTGGGACCTTATTCTATGTTCACGGCTGTTTCCGTCTCGACCACCCACCTTATCATGAGTAGTCTGAAATTCTTTTATCGATTCACGTTGATTTCGAGTTTAACACACCAACGGTAAAGTCTTGTCAACCCCCCATGTTGCGCAATTATTCCAAAGAAATAATGCATGGCGATCATTGCTGTACCCGCATAAATCTCATTTAAGAAGTCATACTAAAATATGTTTCGAGGAGTACCAGCTATATCACGGTCAGATTGGCCTTTCACCGACAATCCACAGCTCATTGGATAATACTGCAACATTAACCCATTCGACCTAATCAAGTCTGGCCATGGATAGATCACCGTGTTTCGGGTCTAATAATAGTAACTATACTCTATACTTACACTAAATAATAGCTTTTTACAGACATACTAATAGTGTTATAAATATTATCGCTTTCGCTAGGGTTAATAACCTTGCTACTACTATTAACTCGCTAACCCATTATACAAAAGGTACATTATCACAATTACTAAAGATAATAATCTAAAGAAATAGCTCTAATTGCTTGTATGATTACTAATTCAGATCTTTTTCAACAGTTAACTACTTTCTTATTTTCATCTTTCACTCACGTTACTCTTCACTATCGCTAAACATTTATACTTAGCCTTTGAGGATGGTTCCCCAATATTCAAGCAGATTATCTTCCACTCTAATTGATTTCATTACATTACATTATATACAGGTCTATTACCTTTTTTTGAACACTTTCCAGTTTTTTCTATAATATAATAATAATTAATAGGCTAATCTATTTTCGCTCGCCGCTACTAATAGAGTCTCTGTTGATTTCCTTTCCTACAGTTACTAAGATGTTTCAATTCACTGCGTAAAATATTTTAAAATTTATCCTAGGATCGCTACGTTTTCTCAAGAGCATAGCTTTTGGTTATTTACCTCCTTTAATAAATGTTTGCTAGGCATCCTTAATAATCACTTTAATTAATTACACCTGATTATCCATATTTATCATACTTTTATTAATAATATTAATTATAAGTATAGAAATTATTATTAACTATGTAAACTAATTATACAATCTATATATAACTAATTTATTCAGTAGAAAAACTAAAAATTATAATTTATTATAAGTGATAGAATTATTATGGTAATAATGTTTTGAACATAATAGTTCATAGGTTTTAATAATTTTAATATTATTGAACATATAAAGTTTATATAGTATAAATGAATTTTTTATTTAATAAATGAATATTAACACACTTAAAAAACAATTCCAACCATATCCATATCATATGGTTGAAGTTTCACCATGGCCTCTATTAACATCATTTGCTGTACTTTCAATGATGATTGGAGCTGTATTATACTTTAACAGTATTCAAAATGGAGGAATTCTTTTAACATTAGGTTTCTTATCAACATTCTTTGCATTCGTATTATGGTTCCGAGATATTACAACAGAAGGAACATATTTAGGAGATCATACATTAACAGTACAAAAAGGTTTAACAATGGGAGTAGCTTTATTCATTGTAACAGAAGCATTCTTCTTCCTATCTATTTTCTGGGCTTATTTCCATTCATCATTAGCTCCTACAGTAGAATTAGGATCACATTGGCCTCCTAGAGGTATTGAACCAATGAATCCTTTTGCTATTCCACTATTTAACACATTCTTATTACTTTCAAGTGGTGCAACAGTTACATATGCACACCATGCGTTAATTAGAGGAAACCGAGCAGCTACAATCTTAGGATGTACAATGACATTAGTATTAGCTATTTTATTCACAGCATGTCAAGGATTAGAATATGCTAATGCTACATTCACAATTGCTGATGGAAGATATGGATCATGTTTCTTCTTCGGTACAGGATTCCACGGATTACACGTTATTATCGGAACTATTTTCATCGGAGTAGCATTCTACCGAATTATTAGATATCACTTAACAAATTTCCATCACATCGGGTTTGAAGCAAGTATTCTTTATTGGCATTTCGTTGACGTTGTTTGGTTATTCCTTTATGTATCTATTTACTGGTGGGGTTCATAATTTATCTAAAATCTATTTAATTTTCTAACTTAAATAATAATCCCCATTATTAATGTTAAAATTAAATAAAATTATTATCTTAAACAAACAATTGTTAGTTTATTATTAATAATTGTATATTAATATATAATTATTATTTCTTTATAAGTACTTTATTATGGTTATTTATATATACGTATTTAGTAATAAATCTTTTAATGAGATAATATAGAATCTATAGTCTATATATTTTATAAGTTAAATATCTTAGGCAGTCTTTTTATACGAAATGAAATTTAATTAAAATAAAGATTAATATATTTATATATATATATAGTAAATATTGTATACATCATATATATATAAAAGAAACATATTAATTTGGATTAATAGCCAAGCGGTTTAAGGCGTTGTACTTGAAATACAATAATGTTTAATTACATTCAGAGGTTCGAATCCTCTTTAATCCGTGTAGATTTTAATTAAATTAATAAACAAATAATAGAACAATGTTTATATTAAACATAATATAAAATTATATTATATATAATTGCAACTTTTATATAGTATATGTATACTAATAAGAAAAGGATTTAATTTAGTATTTAATTATGGTACATCCATATAGGTATCTAGGTATTTTAACACATGCAAGTTGAATGATTTTTTAAATCATAGCGTACGGGTCAGTGTGATTGAGAAATAGCCTTGGAGATCATTGAAATAATGAATAATCAAAGGAATAATTTCCGCTCTGAGATTATCTCAATTCCCAGTCAGGTAGTTGGAGAGGTAAAGCGTTACAAGCCGATGACGGGGAATGTTAAATGAGAGTTTTAACGTGACAGTGGAAATGAGAAATTTCTAAAGCATCTACGATGTGCAGCAGTGAAGAAAATTGGTCAATGCGCTAAAGCGTGAACCAGTGACCTAGATTTTTAGTTTTACAAAATGTAAAATAATAATAATTAATTATTAAATGATGATTATAATTAATATAAGTCCTTTCTAATCCCCGTGCCAGCAGAAGCGGCTAAACGGGAAGGGCAACCTATCGGAGATATGAGTAGGTGTAAAGGGTACGTAGCCGGTTCTTAGAGACAGTAGGAACTAGAATTTGATAGAGGTAAACAACAATTATTTAAGGAGCGCTAAAATGCAATCATCTTGAGAGGAGTGTTCAAAGCGAAGGCATGTTACCAGGTACAAATTGACGGTGAGAGTACGAAGGCATGAGAATACAACGGGATTAGATACCCCATTATTTTATGCTGTCAACGATGCAAACCAATTATTAGTAATCTATTACTAGTGATGATTTTAACAAGTTAAGTTTGCCACCTGTAGAGTATAGCGGCATTGCGGAAATACAAATAATTAGACGGCTTTAAAGCAAACGGAGTGGAGCATGTTGTTTAATTCGATTTTACGCGTAAAATCTTACCAGTTTATTCTTGCATTATTATTCCATATTAGTTATGTAAATAACTATAATGAATTTATGAATTAAAAATAAATTCGAGATGGATGTAACAGGTATTGCATGGTTGTCGTCAGTTAGTGCTAGTGAGACGAATGGTTAATTCCTTTTAATTAAAACTAACGCGATCCTTGTTATAAAATGATAAAACTTTATAATATCTGATCATTATTAATAAATGTAAATCTTTATATTTATTAATATAATAATTGCAAATCTATATTATTAAGATCATATCCTAATAATAGCAATTATTTATTTATTTATTTAATATGATGCTCAGATGATGGGTAACACTTGAAAGGGTTATGACAAATCAATATGATCCATATGATCTGGGCTATAGACGTGCTACAAGAATAATAAACAAAATGATGCAAATTCGCGAGAATGAGCTAACCATTAAATATTATTAACCTTCCGGATTGAAGGCTGGAATTCGCCTTTATGAAGTAGGAATTTCGAGTAATCGTGAATTAGAATGTCACGGTGAAGACAAATCTTTAGAGTGTACTAACTGCTCATCACAGGATGAAAGATCTGGTGGGATGAAATTGGGCTAGACAAGTAACTATATCTTAAAGTTTTTTAAAACACTAATTAATATTAGTAATGTTGTAAGTCTGGCAGTGTGATTTCTACGGATTGATTATTTTGAAGTTGAAACAAGGTTGTGCTAAGGGAACTTGGTGCAGATAGTTGAAATGTAATAGTCCCCATATAACGATGAAAATCGGATACTTATTGTTATAATAAGCGAATAAACCTATAAACTTTTAATTATATAAAATGACTAAATTCTTTATTACATCACCATTAGAACAATTCGAAGTAGTGCCTTTTATTAGTGTTAATGCTCCTATTTTAGGACAATTTAATATCTCATTAACTAATTTAGGATTCTACTGTATTGTAGTAGTTTTCTTAGTTTTAGGACTACATTTTGTTGCTAACAATTCATTCAAATTAATCCCAAGTAAATGGTCAGTTGCTTTAGAAAGTGCTTATGCATCAGTACAAGGAATGGTAAAAGATCAAATTGGTTACACAAACGAAATCTATACTCCATTTATTTATTCATTATTCTTCTTTATTATTATTGCTAACTTAACAGGTAATGTTCCATATAGTTACACAGTTACAACATCTGTAATTGTAGCTATTGGACTTTCAGTTATGATTTTCATTGGAGTTACAACATTAGGTTTAAGTATTCACGGAGTTCACTTCTTCTCATACTTTATCCCATCTGGAACACCTTTAGCTTTAGTTCCTATGTTAGTATTAATTGAATTAATTTCTTACATGGCTCGAGCTGTTTCTTTAGGAGTACGGTTATTCAGAAACATGGTTGCTGGACATACATTATTAAAAATTCTATCTACATTCCTATATCAATTATTTAACGCAGGTATCTTAGTTGCTGCATTAACATTAATTCCATTTGCTATCTTCGTGGCATTAATTGGATTAGAATTAGCTGTATCTGTTATCCAAGCTTATGTTTTCTGTGTACTAACTTGTTCATATATTAAAGATGCTATTGAACTACATTAATTTTTACCTTTATAAATTTTCCCCCTTTTTTATAATACTTAACTAATATAAATGTATTTTATTAAAAGTAACTATTAGTTTCTATATCTTTTTCTTGTAGAATATAAATAGTATAATCTATATTTTAAATATTATTTTTAATCCCTCATAATATTTTACTCATTATATTGTATATTTATTATACTATATTTTTATATAGGGAGAATAGCATAATCGGTTAATGTCCCATTTTGTCAAGATGGTTTATGACGGTTCGAGTCCGTTTTCTCTCGATTTATTTTACAACATACATGTTTTTAAATTTTTATTAAAAGGGATTAGATTAATAGTAAATCAACCATTATAGCAAGTGGTCGTTAAAGGTTCGTGCCCTTTATCTCTTGATAATTCTGAACATTAGCCTAGTTTTAAACAAAAAAATATAAATAACCTAAATATAAAACTTTTAATTTAAATTAAAGGGCGATAATAAATATCATGCAATCAGAATCAAACCAAGTAAAAGTTACCTCATTTATGTTTAATGTCATAACATAAGCATTTATATGTTAGAGGGTATATTATTCTGTCAATTTTAATTATGATTAAAGAATTATTATTAATTTATAATCCTATTAAATGTGATGCTCCCGAAGCCTGGCAAATCGGATTCCAAGACGGAGCTACACCTACATATGAAGGTATTACAGAATTACACAATTCTATTTTCTTCTACTTAATTGTTATTTTCATTGGAGTAACATGGGCAATGGGTTCAATTATTTTTAACTTCAGTTCAAATAAAAACCCTATTGTTTACAAATATCTTAACCATGGAACACTTATTGAATTAGTTTGGACAATTACACCAGCATTTGCATTAATTGCTATTGCTTTCCCATCATTCAAATTATTATACTTAATGGATGAAGTAATTTCACCTTCAATGACAGTTAAAGCTGTAGGTCATCAATGGTATTGGTCATACGAATACTCAGATTTCGTAAATGAAGATGGAGAATCAATTGAATTCGATTCATACATGATCCCTGATTCAGATTTAGAAGATGGACAATTACGATTATTAGATGTAGATAACCGAGTAGTTGTACCTGTTGATACACATATTCGATTCGTTGTAACAGGTGCGGACGTTATTCATGACTTTGCTGTACCTTCTTTAGGTTTAAAGATCGATTGCACACCGGGTCGTCTGAACCAAACTTCGGTGTACATCGAACGAGAGGGGGTTTTTTATGGACAATGTTCAGAGCTATGTGGAGTCTATCACGGGTTCATGCCTATTGCGGTAGAGAGAGTAAATTTAGAGGATTATTTAACATGGCTAGATTCACAATCATAGATGTCTTAAATAAAATTCGAGAGGAGATCATTAAAAAAATGAATAAATTTTTTGATAAATTTAAGAATACTTTCTGTAGTCCTATAAATAATACAGAATTCTTATTTAAATACATATTTAAGGATAAAAGAACTATTCTGATTTTTTTCTTAGGTATCCCAAGATTTTATATTGTTTTACTAAATGAAGTAAACAATAGTATGCCTCCTATTTTTGATAGTAATGGGATTGAAATAATTGTCATAAAATCTTCTTTATTTGAGATGACGCCCCTTGTAGATTTAGGTAGATTCATTCAAAATATTAAAAGACTATTTATCGTACTTTACATAATTTCACATATCTTGGATATTGCATATGGAAATTGTAAAAAATTTTATCCTATTATCATTATCTTAATTTTCCTTGGCACAGAAAGCATTATTACAAGTAGTATTATAGAGATAATTAAAGAATACTTTGGAAATAATATTCATTTATCTGATAGTGGAAGGTCTAGTGATGATGGATCACCAGGTCCTTCTGGTGACAATGGAGAATCTAATAGTAATCCTGAAAACAGACCTTACTCACCTGAAACAGGAGATCAAAATGACCCATCTAATAACTCTTCAGATAAATCCAATAGTAATTCAGACAATAAACAAAATAATAATGATGAGGAAAATAAAAAAAATAGAAGTGAAGAACCGTCAACACGTGAACAAGATGTATTAACATCTGAACAAGAACCGTCAACACCTGAACAAGAACCATCAACACCTGAACAAGATGTATTAACATCTGAACAAGAACCATCAACACCTCAACAAAATCCTGTTGAACTAGAAAATAACCAGGAAGAACCTCGTACTCCTAGACCAAATCCAGATCATGTACCTGAAGACCATACACGAGCTCCTAAAAAACCTCAGTCAGTTCAACCCCCTTCAGATCATAGTGTAAGACCTCCTCCATTTGATATGTCTCGATATATAGATCCAAATGAGCCTAATACGGTATGGTTAAATAGTCCAGATGACGTATATTCAACTTATTTTAATGAAGAATCTTCAGATAGTTCTAATGGAGCATATTCAGGTAGTCATAATGGAACATATCCAAGTAGTTCTAATAGACCATATTCAAGTACTAATAGACCATATTCAGGTAGCCATAATGGAACATATCCAAGTAGTTCTAATAGACCATATTCAAGTAGTCCTAATAGAACAAATCCTAATATTACAAACACGGAAAATCCTCGTAGTACAAATGCATTAGGATTAACTTTTGACCCTAATGATGATCCTCAAAATATTGTTCGTCCAACATTAAGTACAGATTCACCTAATTTATACGTAAACAATAATAATTATTATAATGAAATAGATTTTAATAATAACCGATATTTATGGACTATTGAAGAAGAAACAGAAAGTTCAAGTCCTAGTCCAAGTTCAAGTTCAAATTTAAGTCCTAGTTCAAGTTCTAGACCTAGTCCTAACCCTTATTATAGTTCTGATTCAAACTATAGTCCTAGTCCAAATTCTAGTTCAAACCCAGGTTTAAGTTCAGGTTCAAGTTCAAGTCCTAGTTCAGGTACAAGTCCTAGTACAGGTTCAAATTTAAGTCCTAGTTCAAGTTCAAGTACAAGTTCAAGTTCAAGTTAAAAATCAAAATAAATTAATTTCTAGTAATTATTTATTTAATAACCATTATAAATATTTATATTTAAGATTTTCTTAATAAACGGATTAAAAAAATCTATATAATCCCCTAATTTTAATTAATAAGATTAAATATTATTTTTGTTTCGATTTAAGATCAACTCGAGGCAATATTTATTCGACCTCTTGTTTAGCAGTTTAGATTTAAACTATATATATTTATAAAAATGAATACATTTATTTTAGATTTATTATCATTTGGTGCAGTATTTTCAGGTATTTTAGTTATTACATCTAAAAATCCTGTTATTTCTGTATTATTCTTAATTTCAGTTTTCGTAAATGCAGCGGGATACTTATTAGTGTTAGGTATTGGTTTCATTGGGATTTCATATTTAATTGTATATGTAGGTGCGATTGCAATTTTATTCTTATTCGTAGTTATGATGTTAAATATTTCTCTTGTAGAAATTATTTCAGTAGGTCAAGAATACACTAAAAATCTCCCATTAGGATTAATTGTAGGTGCTTTATTTATTTTTGAAATTCTTTCTCTAGTACCAGCTTCATATAAAGAAGTAGGAGAATTACCTTTAGGTTTTGTAAACTATTTAAATAGATTACTATTAGGGGTTGAAGGACCATCAATGAACAGAGTACATATGAGATTTACACAACCAGGTGCAGATCAAACATTTACAAACTATCTTCAAATTGAAACAATTGGTGAAGGATTATATACATATGGAGCATTATGGCTATTCTTAGCAAGTATTATTTTACTATTAGCTATGTTAGGTCCTATTGTACTATGTCTACAACCATCAAAAAAATAATAAATTATCCCCAAATTTACATATTTTAACTATATTAAAATAATATATAATATTATAATATAATAATTATATATCCTAAATGAAAACAATTAAAAATAAAAGAAACTATTATTAACATTAATAGTAGTAAAACATTGCAAGTATGCTGGAATTGGTAAACAGGACCGGTTTAAGTTCGGTTGTCACTTATGGCTTGAGAGTTCGAGTCTCTCTACTTGTAAATATGGATAAATAATATATATTTATATATAAGGCACTTTAGTGTAACAGGTTAGCACGTAAGGCTCATGATCTCAAAGTGTGGTGTTCAAATCCCACAGGTGCCCTAAAAATATGATTATATATAATACAAATAAAGGCGCTATCGAATAATAGGTTAATTCTCCAGATCTTCATCCTGGAAACACCGGTTCGATCCCGGTTAGTGCTAAAATATTAATGCCGGTATAGTTAAATGGTTATAACATAAATCTTGTAAATTTAAGTTATTGGTTCGATTCCATTTACCGGTAGAATATATAAGATATAAAAAGAGGATATATAAAAAATAATGAAGTATTATATACAAAAGCTAAGCAATAAAATAAAAGCATATAATATATTATAAAATATAAAAGAAATGAATTAAAATTTTACAGTATAGTATTTTAATTATCTATAAATTAAAAGTTTTTAATTTATTAAGCCCAAGAAGATTCGAACTTCTGCTACACCGATATCAACAGTGAGTACTAACCAATTATACTATAGGCTCATGGTGAAATATATATTTCTTTTATATTAAATTAGTTTAAGTTGAATATAATAAATATAATAAATAATTATTTAATTATATAATAGCATAAATATAAGAAGAGATATTATAAAATTATATTATAATAAATATACTTTCTACTATAATAATTATGAATAAAAAGTAAAATGTTTGAAAAAATATTTAAGGTTAAAATGATATATAGCAAATATGTCGGAATTGGTAGACGAGCTTTATTTAGGATTAGGTGTCCAAAAGGCGTGAGAGTTCGAGTCTCTCTATTTGTAAATTTTTATATATAAATTATAATTATATAAATTTATTAACATCTCAAGCGCCTTTAACTTAACGGTAGAGTCGCTGTCTTCGGAACAGTTGGTATTGGTTCGATTCCAGTAAGGCGTTAATATTTTAATATATAAGTAATATATATATATAAACAGATATCGTATAATGGTTATTACTCTCGACTTCCACTCGAAAAATGTCAGTTCGATTCTGACTATCTGTAATTAGTTATTAACAATAATTTGTTATTTAAAATATATATATAAATTATGGTAATCCTAGGGATTTTCTTACTTATGACAATGGTAGCGTTACCTAGAGCCAAAATTAGCTCTACATTATTAATTCGAGTAACATCTATTTTACTATTATTTGTTGCTAGATTATCATATCAAAATAGATATATTAATAGTATGGGATCAGGACTTAGCTTATTTAATGGACTATTTGATGTAACATCTATTACAGGTTCATTTGATAGATTTATGGCTATTGTAGGTTCTATTATCTTAATTGGTTGGGCACCTAGAGGATTTAAAAAATTAGCTGAAACACAAACAGTTTTCACTAGAGTACCAACTATCCCTGAATACGCTTTAATTATTCTATTCACAACATGTGGAGCATCATTTTTAATTTCATCTTCTAACTTAGTATCTGTGTATCTAAGAATTGAATTACAATCTTTTGCTGTTTATATTTTAGCAGCATTATACCGAGACTCAGAATCAGCAACATCAGCTGGATTAAAATATTTCTTATTAGGAGGACTATCTTCAGGATTAATCCTATTAGGTTCAAGATTAATTTATTCTAATACAGGATTAACAGATTTAGAAAGTATTTACACATTATTATCTGTAGATAACAATTCATCTATTTTATTACCTTCAGTAATTGGATTTATTATTATGACATGTGGTTTCTTATTCAAAATTGCTGCAGCTCCTTTCCATAATTGGGCCCCAGATGTATATGATGGAACACCTACAATTGTAACAACATGGTTAACTATTATGCCTAAAATCTCTATTCTTATTTTCTTATTAAGATTACAAACAGGATTAGGTAATTCATTAACAGTAGTGTTTGATAATGTATCTATTGATGTGTGGAAAAACTTATTATTATTATGTTCACTATTATCTTTAATCTTAGGGACAGTAGTAGGATTAGCTCAATATCGAATTAAACGATTATTTGCATATAGTACTATCTCTCATGTAGGATTCTTATTATTAGCTTTAGGTATTAATACAGAAGAATCTATTGAATCTTTCTTCTTCTATTTAATCCAATATACTATTACTAATTTAGATGCATTCTTAGTCTTATTAGCATTTGGTTATATTATTAACTATTCAAAATCTTTCATGGACATCCAATTTATTTCTGACTTAAAAGGACAGTTCCGTGCTAACCCATTATTAGGTTTAACACTAACAATTTGTTTATTCTCAATAGCAGGTGTACCTCCGTTAATTGGTTTCTTCGGAAAACAAATGATTCTATACTCAGCTACACATAGAGGATATTACTTCTTATCATTAGTAGCTATTTTAGTTTCTGTAATTAGTGCTTCTTATTATCTAAATATTATTCGAGTGATTCATTTCGAATCATTAAATAAATCAGATGAAAAAGTTGTTTCATCTGATGAACCTAAAATTACAAATGTGCATAGTTTCGCTATTGCAACATTAACTATGGTTATTGCATTATATATGTTTAAACCATCTATCTTATTAAACAGCACAACACTACTGGCTTTAACACTTTATACTTTCTAAATGAGTGCATTAAAAATTATGTTTATTTTAGTACCTATTATTGTAGGTGTTTTATTATTACTTAATATTCTATTCGCAAGAAGCCGACCTGATTCAGAAAAAGTAAGTGCTTACGAATGTGGATTCTCACCTGTTTACGGACAAACACGAATGCCTTTCAGTATTCAATACTACTTAGTAGGTATTTTATTCTTAGTATTCGATCTAGAAATTCTATTATTATACCCTATTGCAGTTACTCTATATAATGTATCTATTTATGGTTTCTGGATTAGAATCATTTTCTTCAGAGTATTAACTCTGGGATTCGTATATGAATTAGGTAAAGGTAGATTATATTTCACAGATCAACGATCTAGAATCTATAAACGAACTATTTCTTCAGCTTAAAATTCCCCATATTAATATCTATTTTTTATAAATATTTGATAACTATTATACACGATTTATGTATTATAATATATTTTCTTATTCTATAAAATATGTCTTGTAATGTTATTATATTTTATATAAATAACTAGTTCAACTGAGAATAGTGGTTTTATTATATATAAATATAAGAATAATAGATGGGGATATCGTATAATGGTTATTACTGCGGCCTTCTAAGCTGAGAATGTCAGTTCGATTCTGACTATCTCCATATATTAAAGTTAGATAATATAAGTATATATACTACAATTCTAATTTTATTATTTATGATGAGTTAACTAAACTTAATCCTTTTAAATGACTTCTAGAGTAATTGGCAACTCGGCTCTTTTTGGTAGAGTAGATTCCCTGTTCGAGTCAGGGGAAGTCAGTTATATGAGAGCATAACTCAGTGGTAGAGTAGTTGACTTTTAATCAATCTGTCGAAGGTTCGAGCCCTTCTGTTCTCCGATAAGGTTATATTATTTAAACATATATATTTTTTTTTATATTGTTATACTATTGAAAAATTAGTTAATATATAAGAAATATGATTATAATTAAGGAAATGCAGAGCTACTGGCGAGGCTAATTTTGTTGCTAACTTAATGAATTGTTACATTCTTGAGGGTTCGAATCCTTTCATTTCCGTCATCATACTTAGTTTATACTATTTTTAGATAAATAACGATCTTTAATAATCTCTTTAACGAATTTTCGTTTAAAAAGAAAAGTCTTATTTTTATTGTACCGTATAACAATCACAAAGTCACCCTTTGGGGGTTAATTATTATTATTTTTTTTTAATATGTTACAAGCAGCAAAATATATCGGAGCTGGATTAGCAGCTATCGGATTAACAGGAGCCGGAATTGGAATTGGATCAGTATTCTCATCATTAATTGCTTCAACAGCACGAAACCCAGCAATTCGAGGACAATTATTCACATACGCTATTTTAGGATTCGCTTTAGCAGAAGCAACAGGATTATTCGCACTTATGGTATCTTTCTTAGTATTATACTCATAATCCAAAAATCCCCAAATATATATTATATATATAGAATAAAGATGGGAAATAAAAGATATAATTAATATAGAAAACATTACATATTTATAGGGCAGGTAAGGAATCATTAAATTATCTTTAATATGTATGGCCTATACTCTTTTGGTAATAAACAAAACTATTTTTTTATATAAATAAAACTACCTATATTTCAATTACGGAATTATTCCCGATTTATGTTTAAACAAAATAAAGTACTCAATTTATCCTGAAAGTTCTTTTAAACATCATATAAATTTATAATATTCTAATTTATGATTAACTGATTCTTAAAAAACTATTGTAAATTATATATTAATGTAAGCTG